GTTTCCTTGTACTTGTACTAGAAATGCAGAAAGAACGTTAGCAGCCACACATTGCACACCTTGAACGTGACTAAGGAACAAAAGGCTTTCAGCTTCCTGAGACGTCAGCCCTTTCAACCGAACCTCACTCAGTTCTGCTGAGCTGGACACAGGAAGAGACAGACACAACCACCACATGAAGAGAAGACTGTACCTCGCTAGCAATGTCTCTGGAAGCCTTGGCGTGTTTGATGGGAATGGCATCAGCTCTTATGTCATAGCTTTTTGCCTTTGCCTCGTCCCACGCCTTCTGGTAATGTTTCTGCAAAGCAAATTAATCACCCTTGTTACACGCAGTCAAGACTCTCGGATACCAATGCCTTTTCTTAAAGGCTACTCTGGAAGAGCAGTTGTCATACTCTTAATTTAACAACGTTTCACACGCATAATGACTTTATTCTCTTACGTTGCTGATGTTGAGAGCATTGACTTTGGACTGCAGCATTACAGGAGTATCGGAAGGTATGGAAATCTGCGTCTTATCTTTATCCCAGGCTTCACGATACAGATGCTAAAGGAGAAAGGAAGCATAATGACATCTCACTATGGTCTGAACGTTAAGAGAAACCCACCGACAGGAAGTCTTGGGTAATTCTCATTTGCTGTACTTTCCAATTGGTCATTCCCATGATAGAAACCCTACTCTGCACCACAAAGAAAAAAACTGTCATCCCATAAGTGAAAGGTAAGTGAAAGGTAAGCTTACATCACTGATCTGCAAAGCATTGATCTTAGCCTGGACAACGTCTGGCGTGTCAGTAATGCTGGTGAATTTCAACTCCTCTGGCCGCGTGCGGTACAACCTCTCATTCAGGAGTTCCTGGGCCTTCTTGGCTTTGACCACATCCACAGAACCTTCTGGCAACCACCCGATGCCTCGCAACCATTCCAGGTCTGACTTGTACACATTCTACAAATAAACCAAGGGTTACCGACGTTGCAGGGACAACTCTACCTACAGAGAGGTTTTGCACAAAGCTTTCCCCAAGCTCTTTCTCTTACATTTACACAACAAGCAGTCAATGAGACTGTGGCGTTCTAGGTTCTTTCCGAACATAGCTAAAACGCTGATTTGCACAGCAAGGAAATTACTGGTCTTTTAAAGACACTTGCTACATGCAGACCAGTGCAATCTGGAAGCAAACATGCTGTAGCAGACCAAAAAACCTACAGAAACATATGTTTCCCTTCCTTGTGAACTGCCCAGAATATTTCTGACACGCAAGCCGAAAACCCTACTAATTTGGAAAGGATCATCCAGATGAATTAAAACAAACATACCAGGACTGACTGTAGGCTCATGAACATGCAGTTGAAAGGATATTTGCACATTCACTAAAAAACAGAGCCTCACGCACCTGCCATAAAGCTTTTCTACAGTTATTCTTACTCACATCACTCTGTAGGTCGTAGGCCTTCCTTGCATGGATCACGTCATTCTGGTCAGGCAGGCAGGTCCACTGGTGAAGGTAATGGCGGTAGTCAACATCACTGACTAGTGTCTGGCACTCCTTGGCGGCCTGCACTGACATCGCATCGACTGGTATGTGGATCCGGGCCTTGGAATCATGGTACGCCTTCCGGTAGAGTCGGTCGTTCTGCAGCAGCATGGCACGCGCAGCCCACGAGAGTTTGGGATCCTCCTTGGCAGTTCGGCACCCAATGTAGTGGCCTTTCTGCTTCTCGTGTGTTTCCTTGTACTTGTACTAGAAATGCAGAAAGAACGTTAGCAGCCACACATTGCACACCTTGAACGTGACTAAGGAACAAAAGGCTTTCAGCTTCCTGAGACGTCAGCCCTTTCAACCGAACCTCACTCAGTTCTGCTGAGCTGGACACAGGAAGAGACAGACACAACCACCACATGAAGAGAAGACTGTACCTCGCTAGCAATGTCTCTGGAAGCCTTGGCGTGTTTGATGGGAATGGCATCAGCTCTTATGTCATAGCTTTTTGCCTTTGCCTCGTCCCACGCCTTCTGGTAATGTTTCTGCAAAGCAAATTAATCACCCTTGTTACACGCAGTCAAGACTCTCGGATACCAATGCCTTTTCTTAAAGGCTACTCTGGAAGAGCAGTTGTCATACTCTTAATTTAACAACGTTTCACACGCATAATGACTTTATTCTCTTACGTTGCTGATGTTGAGAGCATTGACTTTGGACTGCAGCATTACAGGAGTATCGGAAGGTATGGAAATCTGCGTCTTATCTTTATCCCAGGCTTCACGATACAGATGCTAAAGGAGAAAGGAAGCATAATGACATCTCACTATGGTCTGAACGTTAAGAGAAACCCACCGACAGGAAGTCTTGGGTAATTCTCATTTGCTGTACTTTCCAATTGGTCATTCCCATGATAGAAACCCTACTCTGCACCACAAAGAAAAAAACTGTCATCCCATAAGTGAAAGGTAAGTGAAAGGTAAGCTTACATCACTGATCTGCAAAGCATTGATCTTAGCCTGGACAACGTCTGGCGTGTCAGTAATGCTGGTGAATTTCAACTCCTCTGGCCGCGTGCGGTACAACCTCTCATTCAGGAGTTCCTGGGCCTTCTTGGCTTTGACCACATCCACAGAACCTTCTGGCAACCACCCGATGCCTCGCAACCATTCCAGGTCTGACTTGTACACATTCTACAAATAAACCAAGAATTACTGACATTGCAGGGACAACTCTACCTACAGAGAGGTTTTGCACAAGGCTTTTCCCAAGCTCTTTCTCTTACAGTTACACAACAAGCAGTCAATGAGACTGTGGCGTTCTAGGTCATTTCTACACACAGCTAAACTGCTGATTTGCACAGCAACAAGGATACTTTTAAAGACACTTGCTACATGCAGACCAGTGGCATAATCTGCAAGCAGTCTGCAAATAAACTGCAAGCAAACATTCTACGGCGGAACAAAAAACATGGCTTCCTTATGAACTGCTCGGAATATTTCTGGCTCCCAATTTCAAAGCACTACTGATTTGAAAAAGATCATCCAGATGAATTAAAACAAACATACCAGGACTGATGGTAGGCATGTGCATTTGAAAGGATATTTGCACATTCACTAAAAAACAGAGCCTCACGCACCTGCCATAAAGCTTTTCTACAGTTATTCTTACTCACATCACTCTTCGATAGCAAGAGTAGTCACTACCACATCTCTACACACACTCACATCACTCTGTAGGTCATAGGCCTTCCTTGCATGGATCACGTCATTCTGGTCAGGCAGGCAGGTCCACTGGTGAAGGTAATGGCGGTAGTCAACATCACTGACTAGTGTCTGGCACTCCTTGGCGGCCTGCACTGACATCGCATCGACTGGTATGTGGACCTGGGCCTTGGAATCATGGTACGCCTTCCGGTAGAGTCGGTCGTTCTGCAGCAGCATGGCACGCGCAGCCCACGAGAGTTTGGGATCCTCCTTGGCAGTTCGGCACCCAATGTAGTGGCCTTTCTGCTTCTCGTGTGCTTCTTTGTACTTGTACTAAGAAATGCAAAATGAAGTATTAAAAGAAAGAGTGAATCTGGGATGAATTTCCCATAATTTCATATTGCTAGTGATCACAAACCTATTTTTTATGTTATGAAATATACTCATTTAGAGTTTAGAAATGCCTAACGCATTCTTGCTCCACAGCTTTTGTTATTTTCATTGTAGTTTATTATTTTCTAATATCTGCTTAATGTCAGGATTTATAATTCAGTGTTCCTTTTGGAAACTTTTGCCCATTTTCTTTCTGCAGTGAATTCTTTCTTAGTAGACTTTCAAGACGAATCTGATATACCATGTTTTTTTATGTTGTAGATGGCTCATTACTTCATTTTTGTTTCTCAAGCTAACTGAAAAGAAATGTAAAGGAAGAACATACATCACTCGCAATATCTCTTGATGCCTTTGCACTTCGGATAGGAATTGCATCAGCTCTCATGTCATAACCCTTCTTTTTGGCCTCTTCCCAGCCTTGTATATAAAGTTTCTACACAAAAGAAGACAGAAAACAGCTTCTCAATATTCTGAATGATGGGATTTCTACATTTCATAATTTTTTCTTGAAATTTTCATGAATGGGTATTTTTAGACGATTTACTTGATTTCTGAATTTCCATTACTTTACTATATGTTTAAATGTTCTTACTTGGCTAACATTAGCTGCATTGGCCTTCGCTAACAAAATTGTCGGTGTGTCAGGCATGACGTGAATTGATGTTTTATCTGCATCCCAGGCTTCTGTGTATAAACGCTAGGAGAGAGGAAAATACGTTCCTTTAAAGTTTCTTTATGTGTGTCATGAGGCAAAGATTGCAAATTTGAAACCAGTAGTTATCAAAAATATATCCATAATATAAAAGAAAAGTAATCTTGAAGCAGAACAAGATATATATAACCAAACTAATACATATGTCCAAAGAAAGTATTTTACAAACTGCGAGGGGTAGTTCAAACAAGCTTTAAATACCCTGACATAGCAAAGCTTCTCATTGAACAGCTCAAGAAGGAAACTTCGTCCTTCCTCATTATTTCTCAGGCTAAGCTGGCACAGCAATTGATTGATTTAGTATTGCTGGGAAACTGCAAAGAAGGAAAACTATGTTCACTGCTCTGCCGTATCTGTACGAGTTGTTTGATTGATGTGTCTTGTTAAAGAGAAGCAGTAGGTACTTTGCGAATTTCATCCTCCAGGTCTGAGATAAATTGCAGAAGCTTCACTTCCAGAGCACATAAGCTATTTCCTCATAACTTGTTCATCATGCAGTATGACATTCAGTCAGCAGTACATCCTTATAACAGCTGCAGTAAAAGCCTCGATACTTTGCTACATCCTATCTTATAGCATGGTCATGGCACCACATCTCTGGACGTACCCTAACACCTTGCTGGAACATTGTTTCTGCAGATTTCACAGTATTGTCTAAGAACTGCAAAAAAATTTAGCCTGTTCTGTCAGAGATGAGCTTTGTACAGTGAAGTAGCATTAACAAAATAGAAAAAACATACCAAACAAACATTTAAAAATAGGATTTCAGCTGAGATGGGAGGAAGAGGGAAATTCATCAAAATTTTTAGTATTATGCTTGAAAAATATGTGATTTAGGTGATTTTTTTCAGGACATTTTTACTAAGTGTTCAGTTCAGACAGAGCCCTGAGATAGCAGCTTTCCTATGCAAAAGCTGAATTTGGACATTCATTTTCTCTAAGTCCACAATGAAAGGGTTTAGTCTTACTTTGCATTTTGTATTTTTCACTTCATGAACAAGTTCTATTAGCTAGTAACACTAGTGATTTTGACAAAAAAAAAAAACCAAACTCACCTTGTTCATTATCTCAGCATTTTGCTTAGCTAAGACCATGGCCAAAGAATCTGTCACACTAGTAAATTTAATTTGGTCTGCTGGTTGACGATACTTCCTTTCACTCAGGATTTCTCCAGCTTTCTTGGCTTTCTCAACTTCCATGGAACCAATAGGAACCCATCCAATACCTCTTAGCCATTCCAGGTCTGATTTGTAAACAGCCTGAAAAAATGTGAAAGTTTATTATATATGTGCAAGTGTGACCAAATATTAATTATAAATAAGCATATCCTGGTCTACATGAACAATTGCATGTATTTCTGCATAGTAGCAGGATATGGTTTTGAAAACAATTGTTATTTTTGAAGATCTAATATAATAATTATTAAATAACAAAAAGAATAGTTATTGAAGAACTCCACAAATACCAGAGTTGCACACAAACTACACCTCAGGCTAAGGACTGAGAAAATAGAATGAAACATAAATTTTATGATAGAATATTAAACGTTTCACCTCTATCAACATGTCTGATGCAAGCAACTAAAGCATATTATATACCTTTTAAAAATTACATTGCACAAGACCCAGTATATTTAATTATGTATTAAGAATTTAATGATTTACTCACATCACTCTGTAGATCGTAGGCCTTCTTAGCATGGATAACATCATTCTGGTCCGGCAGACAGATCCACTGATGCAGATAGTGGCGGTAATCAATATCACTGACCAACTCCTGACATTTCTTGGCCAACACGATTCCCAGCATGTCCACTGGGCTACTGAAGTGGGTCTTTGTCTTCTCAAAGGCCTTCTTGTACTCCCTGTCACTCTGGATCTTGGCTACGTGCATCGACCACATCATCTTCGGATCATCCTCTATGTTACGCGCCCCTATGTGGTGCCCAAGCTGCTTGCGATAGCCTTCTTTGTATTTGTACTGGAATAAAGTATATCCATATTTACACGGTATATTTCTAAATTAATAAATAATTCACACAGTTTAACATAATCATTAATACTTTGTTTAGAGAAAAATATGATTTAGGTCTTTCTACTGTTTTATTAATTTTCACATAAAAAGGATTTTCATTACAGATATCATTATCTCTGATTTTTGTATAACTATATCACACTTTCAATTAACTAAACATTTAATGTCACATACCTACGAACAAGTTTGATATTCCACATTATTTTACTATTAAGATTAAAATGTAAATATTAACTTCTTTTAAAATCTTATTACAAAACACCTTGATGAAGATAGTCTGAGTTGGTCTGAATACTAACAGTTTAAACATCAATCTTGATGACAGAAAAACAAGCAGCATAAAAAACTGTTTTCCTCTGTCTCTTAGTGATGTTTCCTCATCCCAGAAGCAAAGCCTGTCATAGTCATTGCCTTTTTTTTTTCCTGTTTTTGTGTTCAGACATCTTGAATTTCAATATGACACTTCAACAGCACTATTTTTTCCTCAGGAAAAGACAATAATTTAGAATTTTTAGAATTTATTTACTAATATATCTATTTTGGGGAGAGATTTTAAAGTATTTCCTATTTTGAATCAGAAATTAATTTGGCTAACTGTAGCATAGACTCGTACACCTTATTGATCATCCTACTTGAACATCCGAGGACATCAATGGAACTATTACAGGGGGCGTAGAAATAATCCTCATATTATTTTATTTATTTATTACTGTGATATATACCTCACGCATAAAAATACTGGCTATCCATTCCTTTCATGTACTAAAGGCATGCAGTAGAATCACTGGATTTCAGTATTATCTATTCCATAAATTTAAGGTATTACATTAACAAACAATGAAACAAACATTCTGATTCTTTTCCATTACTAAACCCATACAGACATGATAAAAAAAACTGCTTACATCGCTGGCAATCTCTCTGGATGCTCTGGCAGCTTGAATAGGAATGGCATCAAAACGCAAATCATGACCCTTCTTCTTCGATTCCTCCAAAGCTAGTTTGTACATTTTCTGTGAGAAAAATATTCACATTTTTGTTTCAAAAACAAAGTTACACTTCAGTTACGCACATCTATGTAATAAGACAAATTAAGTCCCTAAACAATATTGTTAATGTTCAGACAACTTAAATATCTGAACACAGCTCTATCTTCTCTAGAAAACAAAAAAAATGCAGATTTCAAAGACTTTGTAACTGTATTGTAGACGCTTAGAAACTGAAAATCATTTAGGGAAGGGAAAGAAAGGAATATTCTGTAAGTTAAATTATTTATTTCCATACATTGCTATAGAAATGATTTATCATTTATGGCAGATAACATATTTTAAAAGCCCAGTTAGATACCCAGGAGGTAAATTCTAGCAGAAGAACAACTCTGATTTTAGCAGCGGAGGCAGCAAATTGTGAAACTAAACAACTCGACAATATTATAATATTAATTAAAAGTCAGAGATGACAAAATTGTACTTGTCAGAAATCCTTGAATTCTCTCAACTCTTCAGTTTTACTCACCTGACTGTAGTTTAATTGGTTTTGTTTAGCTAGCAGGATTTCTGGTGTGTCAGGCATGACATGAACCATGGTCTTATCTTTATTCCATGCCTCAGTGTATAAACGCTAAGAAAGAACACAGGAAGAGATTAATATTGCATTCCAAAACAAGTTAATATCTCATTAATCAGGTAAAACATAGTGCATACTAGGTAAAATTATAGGAAATATAGCATGGATAAATGGTTATGTATTTATATCAGGTAAAAAGAGAATTTACCTGAGGAAATTTAACAACACTTAGCAAACTGCCACATTACTTAAGAATAATGAATAAACCAAAGCATTATTACTGCTCAGTGCACAGGCATGTCAAAGAAAAGATTAAGATGTAATATGCAGAATATCATGACAGTTGAGTCTTCCATTACATGGCGTAATAGTTTTGATTGAAATAAACAGAGCACACTATTTGAAAATACATCATCTCTGAACTTCAGCATTACTTATGATCGTTATATTTCTGGGCCTGTCTCCAGGGTTTAGGTGGAGACTGCTGACGTGTTACCTAATTGAATCAAGACTCACCTTATTCATCGTCTCCGCATTCTGCTTGGCTAAGACCATCTCTAGAGAATCAGTGACGCTAGTAAACTTGATGGTGTCTGGAGGCTGACGGTATATTTTATCACTCAAGATCTCTCCCGCCTTCTTGGCTTTTTCAACGTCCAAGGAACCAATTGGGACCCAACCAATGCCTCGTAACCATTCAAGGTCAGACTTGTAGCAGTTCTATTATAAAAAAAATACATAGGTTATTCTAATAATAATAATGCAATGTACATGGCACATCTTTTCACAGTTAAGTAACCTCACTATCAACTTCTAATTCAAATAAATTCAGAACCCTAGAGAAAATCTTAGAAAAAATACTTACATTTCATCTACATAAAGAGTGAAACCATTATCCAAGTTTCACAGAACAGCAAATGATAAATAGCCCAAATTCTGGAATTACAGAATTTAGTTTAAATATCAATTACTTAACGTATCCTATTGGAGATCTGACTTTCAATTAGCCATGAAGCTTAAAAATAAGTCTTGAAAATTCAGTTCTACCACATTGGTATGTGATGGCCTGGTCCACCTATGTAAAGTATCACATACATTCCTCACCAAAAATTAAATCAAAAAGAGCTTACATCACTCTGTAGATCGTAGGCCTTCTTAGCATGGATAACATCATTCTGGTCTGGCAGACAGATCCACTGATGCAGATAGTGGCGGTAATCAATATCACTGACCAACTCCTGGCATTTCTTGGCCAACAAGAATCCCAACATGTCCACTGGGCTACTGAAGTGGGTCTTTGTCTTCTCAAAGGCTTTCTTGTACTCCCTGTCACTCTGGATCTTGGCTACGTGCATCGACCACATCATCTTCGGATCATCCTCTATGTTACGCGCCCCTATGTGGTGCCCAAGCTGCTTGCGATAGCCTTCTTTGTATTTGTACTGGAATATAAATCAAGGTATTATATTTCTATATAATCTCTAAAATTAGTTACTCATATTAAATATTTCTAATAATAAACTCTCCAAATTTCTTTATAACCTACAGACAAAAAACCCCAAACTGTCAAAGCAATTCTGAGGCTAATAACATGGATTCTCATATTAAATTTTTGAGATTTGGGTTAGAACCCTAAATAGAGATTTTTGAGTAAGTTTTTTGAAAAAACACTCTTCACTAATATTAGTGAGAAATAATTATCTCCTTATTAAATATATTTAATCCTTATTACAAATAATAATATACATACTATTAAGTTTTAATTAAAGGTACAGGTTTATGAGCTATAAAATTAACATGATAGCAGCATTGTATTGTCCTTATAACTTCTCAACATTTAATTTTTACAATTAAGTCTTCAAACATATATAATAATTTGCTTCCAAAAATCTATTATTTGAGATCACAGTTTAATTGAAATGCCTTTTACAGATGCCAGCTGAGAACTTTCAGGTTGCAGAGATCAGATGTCACTACACAAAGAAACAAAAAAGTAGTTTCTTACATCACTGGCAATTTGCCTGGATGCTTTAGCAGCTTGAATGGGGATAGCATCACTTCTCAAATCATAGCCTTTCTTTTTTGCTTCTTCCATGGCCTGTTTGTAGAGTTTCTATGTGAAGAATTAAACAACAGGATTCATGTAAGTAAGTTCCATATGTTACGTTCTATGCAAAACAAACTGCTTGTAAGTAGAGCAGATTTTAAAAATTGTGTTAAGATCTATTCTAACCCAGTTTTACCTAACTTTCTTAACTCAAAGCCCCAGATCAGTAGCTGATACCAATTCATATCAAAGGAAGATCTTCGCTAAATACATTAGCTAACGATTTTTTTCTTTCAATACTTTAAATAACATAAGATTTTCTACAATTTTAGAGATAAACTGTTCTTTTATACAAGTGGAGTAAAACTTAATTTTAAAGCCACCTCTTATTGATGTGAATTTATTTGCCTAAACTAACATTGAACACGGGGATCACTGCTCTTCAGAACTGTGCTGGAAATTACCTTTTTCTGTTTCCAGTGTTGGAATTAATTTTGTGCCTTCCTAATAGTACGCACACTGGCAGAAATTACTCCCAAAAATTCACTGGAGACACAAAACTTCTCATGGAATTTATTCTCAATAGTGCTCACTGTTGTGTGCATGCACTACTGCACAAATATGCAAATGGCGTATTTAAAGTCACAATTTTGAGGATAAATATTGGGGGTTACTTAAAGAAACTGATGGTATCATCTATATAAGGTTTATCAGAATAGTGATGATCCAGCCATGAAACAGACCAGTTATGTTTGCAGAGCTAACACACTCACCGCACTGTAGTTTTGCATGTTCTGTTTTGCCAGTGTGATTTCAGGTGTGTCAGGCATTATGTGGATTTGTGTCTTGTCTTTATCCCAGGCCTCAGTATATAAACGCTGCAGGAGAAATAACATATGTTAAAGGGGGAAAAAACGGTGACTACTTGGAGATCTCCTCAAACACAAGAAGAATTACAGATCTGTACTCCAAGTCTAAAAAATCCTTATTCCTTATATAGCAATGAGATTTTATATTCACTCCTCTAGATACTTAACGTCCAGGTTAAGAATTAGTAACCCAGAAAGGATTCTGTTAAAAAAAATGTTTAGAAAAAAGGCACTGAATGCTAATCAGACACACAGGGATCTAAACTCTAAGAACAAGGTCTGTTTGAAAGAGGAAGTGGTTTTACTGACATAAATAGGATTGAGATCAGGGCCACAGATTCAGAAAAACTCTTACATTTTAAGTACTACATTGAATTGTTTAAAATATGGATATTTCAAAGACTGCCCTAGAACAAGTAGGTTAGTAATTACTAGATTACTAAATAAACTTGATAAATTATTAGATTTATTACACAAAATGCTATATTAAAAATTAGATGAACGTTAGGTAACACATTACTAGATACACAATAGAGTACGTGGAAAGCTTCACAACTGATAATTCCAATTTAACTTGGTAACTTGGAAGGTATTATTAAATTAGCACCTGCTGAAAATAAGTTACCTGTTGATGACCAAGAATGTCACTTATGGTTTTAAAGCCTCACTGTGCTGAAATCTCATACAACAACCACACATCTGTATTTCTGGGCCTGTCTCCAGGGTTTAGGTGGAGACTGCTGACGTGTTACCTAATTGAATCAAGACTCACCTTATTCATCGTCTCCGCATTCTGCTTGGCTAAGACCATCTCTAGAGAATCAGTGACGCTAGTAAACTTGATGGTGTCTGGAGGCTGACGGTATATTTTATCACTCAAGATCTCTCCCGCCTTCTTGGCTTTTTCAACGTCCAAGGAACCAATTGGGACCCAACCAATGCCTCGTAACCATTCAAGGTCAGACTTGTAGCAGTTCTATTACAAAATACAAAGACAGCTGTCTCATTAATATTGCCAGTTAAACATTTCATATATACCATGCAACTAATGCTTACTTTCTTTAAGTTCCCTTCCTCCTAGTTCAATCTGCAAAACAATCTCTGTTAGCGACCTAAATTCAGATCCCTTATTTGTCTTCAAGAGGTATCATTCACCCAAAAACATGTTGGGGAATGGTCAAAGAATAATGGGATTAAAACAAAACCCTGAAAATCAGTATAAACTTTTCCTGTAACATTTGTTCCCAACAAATAAATGGTCACCCACTAAGAACAGCAGGTCTTAATTTAAACCATTTTCTCCAAGACGGAACAAAGGAATTCTCTCCACTAAAGCCATGCAACTAAAAAAAAAAAGTCATACTAGGCAATTTCCTCTTTATATGCAGTTAATCTGCATATCAAGTATGAAGATTGTCTATTATGAAGGATTATAAGCAGCTAATTCTATTATTCGGCTAACGGATTGGCTGTATATAGACCTTCATAATACTCAACCTTCCTTACCTACAGATTCATTCACTCCTAAAAATCTTATGACCTTGCTTGGAATAGATAAATCAAAACACAATGTGAAAAAACACTGTATGAGAGCAACAGTTCAAGCAGATTCTGTAGTTCATATTCCAAGGAAATTACATACACTTTAGAACTCCAACACATATCAGTGAGTACTCACATCACTCTGTAGATCATAGGCTTTCTTAGCATGGATAACATCATTCTGGTCTGGCAGGCAAGTCCACGCATGTAGAAAGTGCTTGTAATCAATATCACTGACCAACTCCTGACATTTCTTGGCCAACACGATTCCCAGCATGTCCACTGGGCTACTGAAGTGGGTCTTTGTCTTCTCAAAGGCTTTCTTGTACTCTCTGTCACTCTGGATCTTGGCTACGTGCATCGACCACATCATCTTTGGATCATCCTCTATGTTACGCGCCCCTATGTGGTGGCCAAGCTGCTTGCGATAGCCTTCTTTATACTTGTACTATAGGCAAAAAAAATGTTCAGGGAGTTTTAGTTTAGTTTTCTTTATGTCCCTAGCAGCACCTGTGGCACAACCTCCAGAGAACTTAGTATCTGAAACCACAGAGACTTGAGAGTGAGAAAGTATTCAGCTGATGAACTGCAGTGTACAGCTACAAAAGGATTACCATGACATTATCTGCCTGATACGACCTTCATATTTTCGAACAAACTTCCCTGGCCTATATATAAAGAGCTACTACTGAGTAACTTAGAGTAAAAAAAAGTCTCCCAACTTATGGCAGCAACACAAAAGGCCTGAATTTAATTAATATCCCCTACGTAAAGAATCAGTTAGTGAACTTCAAGCACGACAGCCAAATAAACTCCTGTTCAATCTGTTCAGGAGATAAAAACTGGAAGACCATAGAAACAGACCGGGAAGTTTAAAGAGAGACACCAAACACATATATGGAATAAATTTTGATATTAATACCTAATAATAATAAAAAATTATTTACTTCTATACTTCCTTTATGTTTACACAAAATCTTGGTTTGGGTTTTCTTTCCTCATGTCCAGCTCAGCTGGGTACCTGCAACAGCAGGGGCGTGCAGACTGGCAGTACGGACGGCAGCACACCACCTCAAAAGTCCAGTCTGTGGCACGACGAGACGCTGCCACGAGCCCAGGAGGGACATTGCTTTGGATTACGTCCATCACCCAGCTCCCACAGTTACTCTCTCCACACCCTCTACAAATGCCCTCGCAACACCGCACGCCCATAACACCAAGGGACACCTGCAGGCAGACCCTCCAAAACCAACTGTTTACAGACTTGCTGAATTCTAATGAGAGGCAAGAGCTGTGTTGCCTCCATTCCGCTAAGGTTGCAAACTCTGGGCTTCAACTGCAAGCACCTGTAAGCTGTCTGGTTGCGTGTGCCACCAAGGGCTCCTGCGTACTTACATCACTTGCAATGTCTCTGGAAGCTTTAGCAGACTTGATAGGAATGGCATCTGCCCGCATGTCGTAGCCCTTTTTCTTATCTTCCTCCATCGCAAGCTTGTACAGTTTCTGAAAGAACAACAAGCATTCCCCTCAAGCAACACTTCTTCCCTTCCCGCACCAGCGTCCAGGGACGCACACTTAACCCCAGCTCCAACACCTACCTCACTGAAGTTCGCTTGGTTCTGCTGGGCTGGGCAAATACCAGGTGTATCCGGCATAATGTGAACGCTGGTTTTATCTTTCTCCCAGGCCGATGTGTACGAGCGCTGAAACAAGGAGTACAGCCTGAGATAAGATCCTGCAAGCACGGGGCAACAAACTCAAAGAGCAAACCAGCTCAACGAACTGAAGCAAGGGGCCTCTACTTTGCACAGATTCAGGAATGCCTTTTCTTTTACCCGGCACATATTCAGGAATGCCTTTTCTTTTCCCCAGACTTCCTAACGCTCCACCCTTTTCTTTTCCACACTGCACCCAATCACTGCTCCAACCACACAAAACAGAATTTGATCTAAAACAGGGAGCACCAATCTCTGACGCAAGACGATGCAATACCCCCCGCCCTTTGCAAAGCCCAGGCCCTGGAAGGAGAGACCTCAAAGTCCTGGGAAATGCACTCATTTCCTTCAGGTTGCAAACACAAGCAAATCTCACTTGGTTCATAATTTCGGAGTTGTGCTTTGCCAGAACCATGGGCATCGAGTCAGGAAGGCTCGTGAATTTGATGGTGTCCGGGTGTTGCCGATACTTCTTCTCGCTCAGGATGAGGCTCGCCCTCTTGTTCTTCTCATCGTCCAGCGAACCACTTGGGGACCAGCCAATGCCCCTCAGCCACAGAAGGTCGGACTTGTACACATTCTGAAAGGACAGGCAGGGACACAAAGCACCTCAGCAACCGCCTTATCCCATGCCAACGCTCCTCCTGCCAAATGAAGCTCTGCCTATCAAAACACAGTCCCCTGGGTCAACCCCCCAGCCACCACGAAGGGACTCCTCATCACCTAACGCTCTTCATACCATTCACCACTGCACACATGGCTTGCCTTTGCCCACTCTCGGTCCTCCAAAAGAAAATATTTGACTCCATTGCCCCTCCCCTGCCATTCACAACTCCAGCCACCTGCAGCAACACTCCCCCCAAGGTGCTCAAGGCAAGACAGGACTTTTCTGTCACCATAAAGTACGACCCCACACAAACTTCATCCCCGCCCATTCATGACATCAACTCTCAGCCAGATAGGATGGCCACAACAGAGTCTCAGTCTCACAGAATCAGCCTAGGCTTATTTATGCTCCCCACCTGGACCTTCTCCAACAAAGGAACAGAACACAAGGCAGACTTCTGCTTGTCACACTCCCACTAAAGGATAACTTACATCACTCTGAAGGTCATACACTTTCCTGGCTTGCACAACATCGTTCTGGTCCGGCAGGCAGGTCCACCGATGCAGAAAGTGCTTGTAATCAATGTCGCTGACCAGCTCCTGGCATTTCTTGGCCAACACGACTCCCAGCATGTCCACTGGGCTACTGAAGTGGGTCTTTGTCTTCTCAAAGGCCTTCTTGTACTCCCTGTCACTCTGGATCTTGGCTACGTGCATCGACCACACCATCTTCGGATCATCCTCTATGTTACGCGCCCCTATGTGGTGCCCAAGCTGCTTGCGGTAGCCTTCTTTGTATTTGTACTGCAGGGTGAAGGAAGCTCAGTAAGTTTCAGACCAGCTCTTCTCCCTTCGGACATTAGTTTCTAGCAGCACCTCTGAACAGGCACTTTGCTCGTGGAGCCTGGTGAGATCACCGTGTGAAGAGGCGCCTAAGCGCAGTTTATCCCTACCGGGTCCTACTCTGCCATCCCACCCCACACCTACGCTGGGCCACAGGAGGCACATGGAGGCCCAGGCGGCAACTCCAACCAAGCGAGCTCGGGAACCAGCAGCAATGCAGGCCAGCAGACAGGGTCTCCACACAACCTAAGCATCCCCACAGAGAGGCCAGCTCAGCACCTGGGATGCAAAACTCAGGGAAAACCATGGACAGCTCCAGCAGGCAACCTGGCCCTCACCCTGCGCAGCCCTGACTGCACTCACTCACAGCCCACAGCAGCTGACGCACTCCACTGCACCAGGCTCTCCTGCACTGGGCTCGGGAGCCTTATTCACCCAGCCCCGTGTGGGTCCTCAGCTGCAGACCTGCAGCCGCTAAGCTTGGGAAGGGACAGGGGCCAACACAAAACTTTTTCAGCAATGTGCGTGTCGAGAGCTTATGGATGAAAATTAGAGACCAAGGAAACAAAGGAAACTTTGTGATTGCTGTCTGCTACAGGCCACCCGACCAAGGAAAGGCGGTTGAGGAAGAGTTCTTTCTTCAAGTGCAGAAGCAGCACACTCGCAGGCCCTGATCCTGATAGGGGACTTCAACCACCTGAACATCTGCTATAAAAGCAGCACAGCGAACTGCAAGCAGTCCAGGAAACTACTGGAGTGCATTGAGAACAACTTCTTAGTAGAAGTAATGGAGAGCTGACCACAGAAGAGGCACTGCTGGACCTGTTGCTCACTAATGAGGAAGAACTTATCAAAGAGGTCAAGATTGGAAGCAGCCTGGGCTGCAGCAATCACGCCCCGGCAGAATTCTCAATCTTGAGGGGTACAGGACAGGTAAAAAGTAGAGTCAGTATTCTAAATCTCGGAAAGGCAAGCTTTTGGCTGTCTAGGGTGCTAGTGAATGGGATCCCGTGGGAAACTGCCCTTAGAGATAAAGGAGTGAATGAGAGCTGGGAGGTATTTAAAGACTTTTTTATTAGGGTGCAAGAGCTCTCAATCCCAACATGCAGGAAGTCCGTCAGGGAAGGCAGGAGGCCAGCTTGGCTAAGTCAAGATGCTGCACAGGCAGCGGAGGCAGGGATACACATCCTGGGGAGATTATAGGGATATGGCCTGAGAGTGCAGGGAGGGGATCAGGAAAGCCAAGGCACAGTTGGAGCTGAACTTGGCTAGGGATGTAAAAAATAACAAGAAGGATTTCTTCAGGTACACAGGACAACAAAGGAAGGTGAAAGAAACTGTACCCGCCCTGATGAGTGAAACGGGAGACCTGGCTACAACCGATATGGAGAAGGGTGAGATACTCAACAACTTCTTTGCCTTGGTCTTCACCTGCAAGTGCTCTAGCCATGCCATCCTTTGGATTCACTGAATCCAAAGCCAGGGACTGGGAGAATGAAGTACTGCCCACTGTAGGAGAAGATCAGGTTTGAGACCGTCTAAGGAACCTGAATGTGCACAAGTCCATGGGACCTGATGAGATGCATCCAAGGGTCCTGAGGGAACTGGCAAATGAAGTTGCTAAGCCACTATCCACCATCTTTGAAAAGTCATGGCAGACCAGTGAAGTTCCCAGTGACTGGAAAAGGCGAAACATAACCCCATTTTTAAAAAGGGAAAAAAGGAAGACCCAGGGAACTACAGGCTGGTCAGTCTCACCTCTGTGCACAGCAAGATCATGGAGCAGATCTACCTGGAAACTATGCTAAGGCACATGGAAAACAGAGAGGTGATTGGTGACAGCCAACATGGCTTCATTAAAGGCAAATCATGCCTGACAGATTTGGTGGGCTTTTACAACAGGGTTACAGCATTGGTGGATAAGGGAAGAGCGACTGACATCATCTACTTGGACTTGTGCAAAGCACTTGATACTGTCCCGCACAACATCCTTGGCTCTAAAATGGAGAGACATGGATTTGACAGGCGGACCACTCAGTGGATAAGGAATTGGCTGGATGGTCGCACTTAAAGAGTTGCAGTCAAACGCAACTCTTGCTCAATGCCTGGGTTAGAGACCAGCTATGAGTGGTGTCCCTCAGGGGCCTGTACCAGGACCAGCACTGTCTAACATCTTTGTCAGGGACACGGACAGTGGGATTGAATGCACCCTCAGCAAGTTTGCCGAAGACACCAGCCTGAGTGGTGCAGTCAACACGCTGGAAGGTAGGGATGCCATCCAAAGGGACCTTGACAGTCTTGAGAGGTGGGCCCATGTGAACCTCATGAAGTTCATTCAACAAGGTCAAGTGTAAGGTCCTGCACCTGGGTCAAGGCAATCCCAAACATGGATACAGGTTGGGCAATGTGTGGATTGAGAGCAGTCCTGCAGAGGACTTGGGGGTATTGGTGGATGATAAAATGAATATGAGCTGGCAATATGCACTTGCAGCCCAGAAAGCCAATCATACCCTGGGTTGCATCAAAAGTAGTGTGGCCAGCAGGTCGAGGGAGGTGATTCTCCTGCTCTACTCTGTTCTCACGAGACCCCACCTGGAGCACTGCGTCTAGCTCTGGTGTCCCAAGCATAAGAAATACATGGCCCTGCTCGAGTGGGTCCAGAGAAGGGCCACAAAGATCATCAGGGTGCCGAGGCACCTCCCCTAGGCTGAGAGACATGCTGAGAGAGTTAGGGTTGTTTAGCCTAGAGAAGACAAGGCTCCAGGGAGACCTTATAGCAACCTTCCAGTACTTAAAGGGGCCTACAGGAAAGACAGGGAGGGATTTTTTATCAGGGAGTATAGTGATAGGATGAGGGATAACAGTTTTAAACTGAAAGTGAATAGATTTAGACTAAATATTAGGAAGAAATTCTTTACTGTGAGTGTGGTGAGACACTGGAACAGGTTGTCCAGGTAAGCTGTGGATACCCGCTCCCTGGAAGTGTTCAAGGCCAGGTTGGATGGGGCTTTGAGCAACCTTATCTGCTGGGAGGTGTCACTGCCCAGAGCTGGAGGGTTGGAACTAGATGATCTTTAAGGTCCCTTAACACCCAAACCATTCTATGATTCAATGATGCTACAACTTTTACCCCTGCCTCTTTCTGAAATGTAAAGTAAGACAGAGGAGAGCGTGCCACCAAGGGCTCCTGTGTACTTACATCACTTGCAATGTCTCTGGAAGCTTTAGCAGACTTGATAGGAATGGCATCTGCCCGCATGTCGTAGCCCTTTTTCTTATCTTCCTCCATCGCAAGCTTGTACAGTTTCTGAAAGAACAACAAGCATTCCCCTCAAGCAACACTTCTTCCCGCACCACAGCAGCGTCCAGGGACGCACACTTAACCCCAGCTCCAACACCTACCTCACTGAAGTTCGCTTGGTTCTGCTGGGCTAGCAAAATACCAGGTGTATCCGGCATAATGTGAACGCTGGTTTTATCTTTCTCCCAGGCCGATGTGTACGAGCGCTGAAACAAGGAGTACAGCCTGAGATAAGATCCTGCAAGCACGGGGCAACAAACTCAAAGAGCAAACCAGCTCAACGAACTGAAGCAAGGGGCCTCTACTTTGCACAGATTCAGGAATGCCTTTTCTTTTACCC